TACAATAATTGAAGAATTCATACAGAAACAAAAGGAAAAAGCATGTCCCGTGAAGTGAAGGTAGACTTCTACATAATAAATTATCACATAGTTCCTATATCACACCAAACTTCTAGTTACAACAATTTCATTCACTCCCAAAATCTAGATTTTCCTTTCTAACTACACGGCATCACGAGATATGGACTCGGTCCCAAACTGCTTAGACAAGTCCTTAATTTCCATAATGCTTGGAATCAGCAACAGGCTGTCGAAATGAAGTTCTTCATCGACTCAGTCCCAAAATTGAAACGTCAAGTAATAAAATGAAATCAGATGGATAGACAGGTACACGAAAGTGGACTGCAACAAGTTGAACTGAACAAAAAATGGCATCCACTAGACATTTTTGGAGGTGGATAAGATATCTTGGTAGAGGGTTTCTTGATTCGACAAAATGGGTGCAATGAGGGTGGTTACCGATAGTTTGGCTCATGTCGAAAGTAGTTGGAGGTGGAGAAGATGGCTGGTCGGACGGCAATAGTATTGGAAAAAAATAAGGTGAATGGCTGACTTTGGTATAAATTTTGAATGTGACCCGTTTGGTTGTTTTGAAAGATCAACATTGATTTGTATTCTCCTCCGCGAGAACATCGAAATCATATATTTACTTACCAAAAATGAAACTTGGGTGAATGAGAAATTGGAGTTCAAAGCGGACAATTGGAATATGGTTTATGTTGGAGGGAAAACTAAATTTGAGTTTATCCTACATAGGAAGTTTACAAAGGTAAGAACCACTTTATATATGGCTGCATTTTGGAAGTCTGTAATCATGTGTAGCATAGAGGTTCTCTCCACGTGAGCGCGTCAAGGGGTACAAATCACGAACCGAAATAGGTTTCAGACCTTGAACTTGTGTGCGGACGCGACCTGTGTACACTAATGTCGGACCTAATTGACCAAAAATTGGCTTCTTCTGAGGGCCTACATTTTGCTAATTTTTTGCTTTCAACAACTGACTTTTGATTTTTGAAACTCCAATTATTATTATCATTAACGTTTGAAACTCCAATGGTTATTGCCATTGCATTAATGGACATATTGAACTCATCATTATTGAGGTCAAGTCTATATGAAGCCTCGTTTTTCCACTGTTCTAGAAATGAAATATACACTGTCTGTATTACAATTCCAAAACACACAAAAAAATCTATGTTTGCATGCGAAAACGTCATATGTCTGCGTATATAATTTACTGTCTGTCAAGAACTTGGTGGTGATATTGTTCAGATACTAAGTGAGTTCGCTAGAGTAGAACTTGCAGTGCTCGGACTCTGCTAGTTTACCGTTGTATCCAGGGAAACAAACGCTCAAATTAAATCTCAAACACCTATGGTGAGCGGACGAATCTGTTTTACGGAAACTGTGTTGACATCTGCCTCGATTTTAAAGTTCAATTGAATTTTTATTCTCTATCATTTAGATTATTTGTTCTATTTTATCGTAATTTATATAACTTATTTTGTTTTGTAATTGGCAAATTATTTAATCTGTTATAACTTAACTATTATTCGGTAAGTTATTGCCTACACGGTAAATTGTATATCCGGTATGTTACTTATGGCTGTCAATAGATTAGATTTTGATCCGAATCCGATGAAATTAATGGGAGATGGATTCATAATCTTAATTCGATAACTCAATCAAAATTCAAATCCGATAATCCGTTAATTAAATGGAACAAATATGGATATATGTGAATCCGATCCGATTTGTTATAAATAATTGAGTCGATAAAATATTTTTATAGCATGTTATTTGTGACTAAAATAAATGAATGAAAAAATTAATAAATTTAGAATTAAAAAAAGTCATCAAATTCAAGAATTGGAAAATTGTATAATTATTAAACCCGTTTAAGAATTGGAAAAAAATAAAACAATGATTCTAACATTAATTTTTTTTGGCCAATTTCTTTAATTTCGGATCGGATATCCGATAACATAGCAAAACGGATATTGATTTAACAATCAAATATCCGTTGGATTATCGAATCGGATGAGATATAGACATATCTGGTTCATATACGATCCATTTACAGCCCTACTGTTACTTGCATATACAGTATGTTGAGTTGCATATCTGGTAAGTTGCATATACGTTATGTTGAGTTGCATATCCGGTATGTATTGTAAATTTGATCATTGTTAAACCGGTATTCGTTCACGAATATTTTATCTAACAAGTAGAGTGGGCATCGTCGTCATAGGAGTTGCCAGATTTCAAGCTTGGGAGGAAATGGAAAAGTGAGCTACGGGTTTTACTATTTTGGGGTTCAATTGATCTTTACATGGTCTCCCATTTCGTTTCCCTCCATAAGCATTTCCCCATTTTTATTTTTTTCTTTTTTTTTTATTGAATACAAACCAGCAATTAGAAGTAATTTAAAATTACCTTGTCTTCGAGTAAAATTGAAAAATAATTAACAAATCAACATATATAATTTTTTTTAACAATATAATAAAACTAGTTGAAAATTCCTTAAATATTTTGTATTGCTTAAGCATTTTCTCTAATTTTTCTTTTTGCATTTTTTATACTCTTTACATTTATACCATACCAAGTTTTAAAAACTAAAGTAATAGTATCATATTATTAATTATACAAAAACGTTGACATCAAAGTTTTTTTAGTAAATATATTAATCAATTTTAGTTTGTCCATATTTTAAATGAGAAATCACATTCATAAACATATGATTAAAAAAATAACTCCATAAAAAAATATAAAAAAATAAATTTTAAAATAAAAAAATTTATTTTTGTCTATAAATATCACGGTAATTTTTTTTTCAAAAGGGCAGTGTGTCCCTATAATTGCTTAACTATTAATTGTTGCCTTCGAACATTATATAGGCTAATTTCAATTTGTTTCATGTATTTCCAAATAAAAATACACAGTATGACCAGGGAGGAGTGGAGTGAGCCGAGCACGAGTCGGCTCAGGACTCATCAATCATCAATATTATTAGCTTGTTTGGTAACACTAAAAATTCAATTAAATTTGAAAATATAGTCGTTATTGAGTCTCACTCGTCTAATAAAAGTCAATAATAACGGTTAGTTTTTCAATTTTAATCTGATTTTAATCTCTATCAAACACACTCGATTATTATTACTACTTTTTACTCATTTTGATGAGTTGGCCCAGTGTACTTGCCCTTTTTTATATACTAGTAAGACACACGTGCAATGCACATGCTATAGTATAGTTGGCTATATGATAGCGTAAATATAAAAAAAAAATTATTTGTCTTAAGCATTAGTTACATTAAATTTAAAACACTTGAAATGATGATATGTGACAAAAATAATATTAAGAGATTTGATTCAAAACTTATTTTAAAAATTATTTGTCTTAAGTATTAGCTACATTAAATTTAAAACACTTGAAATGATGATAGGTGGCAAAAATAATATTACGAGTTTTGATTCAAAACTTATTTTCTAAACTTTGCGTTTAAAGATCCTTCTGTTCTTTTTAAAAAAAAAAAAAAGACAGAGCATAAATGATTAGACGTTGATACCCTACTAAAAAGATAATGAAGTTCAATACAGCCCTTTTTTTCTACCTATTGAGGTAAGACTAATTAATTAATTAATGATAATACAGTGCAGAATTTAGGACAAATCAAATGTCTCTATCAGTATTAAAACAACAACACGATGACAAACGATCACCTAACTTCATAAATTTCCACCAGAGGCAAAGAGAATGATAAACGATCACCTAACTTCATAAATTTCGTCGAATATCTTTTCAACATATTCTAATGATACTATGCATTAAATTCATTAAAAAAATCAAAATAATTCCCTTTATAGAAAATGTTTATCTATCAGCATTGCACGATGTAAGAGGATTCTTTTAAAAATCATTGAGTTCCTTCAATATCCATTTTGACGACATAAATTTATCTTTTTTAACTGTAAAAACTAAAGAAAAATGAAATTGAGAGAAACTTGTGTGAGTATGGAGGTTGAGAATGGGGTAGAAAAAAAAAATTAACGATTATAATTTTACGTTTAATAATTGAAGATAATTTTTATATTTAAACTTAATTGACAATATATTTATTATTATCACATTTTAAATTTTTTTTTTTAGAAAAATTAAATCGATCCCCTTCAAGCCTTAAAATACTGAATCAAATGTGAAAAAAGACTTGGCCGAGCCGAACCGTCAAGCCATTTGACTCGACTTGACTTATAAACAGTAACCACCAAGTGACTTCTCTGATTTATGAGCATGCATGTAGGATAGGATAAGAAAAAAATTGTAAACCTATTAAAATTGTTCAAAATAATTCTCAAAATTTCTCCACAACACCCCAATAGTCTCTCCCAATATCATGTTGGTTTTCACTTTTATGCATCTCTCGTTCTTCGAGATTCTTCATCTCGAAGGGAAGTTTTGGTGGCGGGTAGGAGAAGAGGCAGTACAAATTTTCTCTCTTCTTTTCAATTGAAAATGGAGGCTTGAGTGGTAGACGTGAGATGAGTCCTATTGTGATAAAGCCCTCGTCTGGCCTCCATTATTTTCCATTAAATAATTCATATTTCTCTATTTTCTTATCAATCATACATTCTCCAATAAAATAATATTACATATAAATCCAAAAACTTTTCTTCTTTTTTCATCGTACATTCTCCAAAAAATTACAATTCCTCATTATAATGTGAAATAATGGAAGCCAAACGGGGGCAAGGTCTAGAAGTAATTGTGCAAGGACAGGATCGAACTTTCTCAACCTTTTTTCTTGACAATGCAGAAGGATCTGAAAGAGAATTAAGTGTCCAAAGATATAGTATAGAAAAATAATCCCCAAGGTGTGAACGGAGCTGCGAAGTGAGAACTAGAGCTTAAATTATGCCACGAAGCATCAGGCTTCGGAATAGATTACCATAACTCCCCCGAGCAATTCAACAAAACTATGCGATAGTTGCTACGCCACGAAGCTACTTGCGCTTGTACCTGCACAAGTACAAGAGTTCAGCTTGAATCTTACTTTTAGATGTCAAAGGTAATATGTCAACTTTTCTAGTTAAACACATCTGAGGGTTTTTCAAAGTCAGCTTTTCAGATTTTCAGTCTTCACTTGATGACAGAAAAAGCACGTCTAATTTTTTACGCTTAGCCAAAATTGCTGAAATTCCAGGGTTAGTACAAGTACAGAAAAGTTTCACAGATAACACTTGGTGGGTACGTCAGGCTTAATTCATTTGGACAAGCTCTAGAATCATATTGCAGAACACTCAACACTTAATGTTAGAAACAAGTTTTTTATAGTAAAATTATTCTCAACAGCAAATGAGAAATTTTGATTGAAACCATGCAATTTAACTTCAGAATTTTGTGAGATGGTCTCACAAAAAGTGTGAAAGGTAAAGAGATTAATTTGAATCAGTTTTCTTTACAGAACAGACATATAGTTGAACACATCCCGCATGTTAGTGGGACCTAAGCATTGAAAATCTTATTCCCTGGGCTTCAACCTTTATGCAGTTTTAACATAACACATTTTATCCATCAATAATATTATCTGGAAAAAAGGATTTCCACTCGGACTACACTGATAGGGACAACAACATAACTAGGAATCTTTCTCTTTCAAGAAATGCTACTAGTTAAGAAAAGTGGTGACGAATATTGTTGTTAGAATCACATGAACTAATTGAATTGGGCATTTGTACTTTCATTTTGGATATGGCCATTTATAGAGCAGAGGAGAGAGGGCCATGTAATTGCCTGTCATAAGGCCAACATACGGCTTTGTTTAATTGAATTAAATTTCTGGTCCACGCTAAACCAGTAATATGCAGAACATAAAATGAAACTGAAGCAGATAAGAGATCATGATGAGATTTATACCGTGACTTGCTCTTGAATGAGGACTTCTTCTTCCCACCTCCACGCTGAACATTTTTCTGCTTTTTAGCACTCATGTCATCTTGAAATAGTTCCCGCATCTCTTCCGGTCTTGATTTATTCGTTTGGGAAGGATTCTTGGATTTCTTAACTGCCTTTTTGACAATCTTGCCAGCATCCACAGCCCTCTTTGCAGCCTTCACTGCTTTAGCCCGACGGTAAGCCACATCAACAAGGGAAATTCCATTTCTTTCTTTTTTATTTTTCTTCTCTCCCTGATCATTTCAAATGTTAATTCTCATAAACTTATATGTCACATTAGAGGAAGTTATAATTTCACACGTTAAAAATAAGTATGGCATAATCAAGATATGGTAGAAGCACAGAAACAAAACCCAGGGTAAGAAAGTGTGAATGTTACATCATGACATCAGAACATGGAATACCAAGACTACCACATGACAGTATAATCATCATAATCTAATTGGCATTCTAATTCAATCTGTCCATATAGTTGTGAAAAATATCCCATCATTATTGTATGAGTATGAAATAATTCAACCAACATTTGCATCACAAGTCTACTAGAAATCCTCTTGCACCATTGATGTATATGAAACGAATTTCAATTGTAAGACAATGTTTTCATTCAATACGGTATATGTTACATTTTCACGTTTTATTCACCATACCACGTGTTCTTCACCCATTGATTGTGAAGTCATGTTTAACAAGTTTAACATTCTTATCCACGTGTTTCAATAACAGTTTTTGTTTGTGGAATAGCCTATAGACTAAATAAGAGTTTTTTTGGTTGTTCAATAATTTTGCACTCGAAAGCCTCGTGTGATCGTCATTTATAGTCTAGATCGAACTTACGACTTCGTATTATAAATGCTTGTTGTCGTATTCTAGGTTCGCACATGATCTGATAATATTTGTAACTTAGAAATGCTTTGCTAAAATTGGCAAAAGTTTGCATAGATCAAGCTCAACGTAATATCACAAAATAACGGTCAAAATTCTCGCCACTAATCTCTGTAAAATTAATTGATAACAATATAAAACAAAGAACAGGGAAATGTACGTACTTCATTTTCCTCTTCTAGCATCTCTCTAGCAGCTTCCAATTTCCTTCTTTGCTTCCTAGGCAAATTTTTCTGTCCAAAACAATAATCTTCATATCAATAAATTTGGCCAATCAGTTTGTACAATATTGTACGAATTCAGGATGAGAATCACCTCATGCTGTCGCTTTCTCTTTTCCTTCATCTTCAAATCTTCCGCTTGTTCTGCACTAACCACTTCACTTCCAGAACCATTTCTTTTTTCCTGAGATTCCTATCAAACCAATTGCAGAAGCCAATTCAGTAAATTAAAAACTAACTTACTTTAACACAAAATTCTATTGAAAAGATACGAACTATAGAAAAATAAAACACGTCCATATAAATATGTTAGGGGATGACACAAAGACGACCATGGATAATAATTTTTTCTCGTGCATCTGATGGTAACCAAATCAAAGACAGAAGTACAAGATTTGCATGCTGACAATCATTCCTGCCCATTAAATTGTGCAGATATATTGAGCCATATAGTGTAAAATATTTTGAAATAGAAGCGGAAAAGATAATTGACAAATATACGATGGGCAGCTACAGGAGGAGAAGCATATCAGTTATCAAATATAGAACAGTTCATTTGAAAATGAAAAAAGGAAAAGAAACAATTTTGGTCAAAATGTTCTCCATGATCCCGTAGGGAAAAAACAAAATTGCCAATGTTCTTTCATATAATGGAAAGATCAAACCCAAGGATAATTACTTAAAATAAATGCAAAAACAAGTTCATTTTCAGTTAAGCCATCAACTGGGCCCAACTGGCAAAGTTAATTCATAAAATCATTTAAATGTTGACAAAGGTGAACATCAGTGTCTGGTTAACTGTGCCTGGTGCATTCTCTATCATACTAAGCCATATAGCAACTGAAACAGCCTTAATTAATCAAATACTCTAGCATATCAGATGCCAAGTGAAAAATGAGTTCACAAGCCAACAGAACTTTCCATATACATCGACGTTTCTACTACCTTCGCTGCCTTTGCTACAAGCTTTTTCTCCTTTTCTGTGGCAAACCAAGTTCTTTTAGGTCGTGAGTAAATTTCATTTCTGTGATCGATCATGTTTTCTGCCTGCAAGGTCATGGAGGGAAATTGTTATTGCAACTAGCACCCTGACATCAAACTTGTAACTGATGCTAAATTAGTGTCTTTCAAAAAGGAAAGTGGTTGAAAAGCTTTGGAGGTAGAAAGCTATCAATAGTAGGAAACGTATAATGAAAATAGTACGAAAGAAACCTTGGTTGCCTCCATCTCAGCTTTTCTTAGAGCCATCTCTTCCCTGCAGCAACCAGCAATAATAAATAACCGTTCGCAAATTCATAAATTTTTTGAATGTGAAACCAGATAAAGAAATAAATTAATTACTTTTCTTCTTGAAGAACTGAAGCCACTTGATCCTCCATTTGCTCAATTATTTCAGACCACTTCTTTATTGATTGCTCTGCAACAATTCTGCTCCTCAGCTTTGAACCAACTTTTTTAACCTGTCACAATGTCCCAGGAAGTCTTAGCAGAAAATTCTTCTCTTTATCCTGTTAAGCTAGAGGTTTATTGTACTATTTCCTCTGTTTTCTTGATGATACTTTAGAAGTGGAAAAAAGGTAACATTATGGACTGACTAAAAAGAACTAAGATCCAGATATAGGGGTCAGTGATGGAGGAACATGGTTCCGAAAGTATGGAACACTCGTGAATATACGTAAGTTGTCTTTAATAACATGTTTACACTACCATTTTGCTCCAGTAAGCGTACATTTTCATATTACACGTTTACACTATGCCATCTTGTTCCAGGTAAGCATACTGCATACAGTTCATATACCACCCTTCTGTAACTGTAAGTTGCTCCACTACTGGTATAATTAAGGTTTCTAAAGATGAACCTTGAAAATTAACTACCCATACCCACACATCTTTAGGTACTTGAGAGCAAACAAAATCAACAAATTAAGCACTTATTAGTCAATATCAGTGAAAAAGGAGTAGAGGTCACAAATGTTTGACAAAGACTGTAAAATTAGGTAGTAAATGTAGAATGACCCTAAAGTGCAATGCAGTTCTTAATGAAGAACAAGCAGACAGATCACAGAAATCCTCTCTTGAGAATTGAACAGCCTAAGAGCACATCAAAAACTAAGTCTTGAATTGGGGGCAGAAAAAGCTTACAATAGCTTTAAGAAGAGACCGATCATTATCGGTAACAAAGGTAACAGCATATCCTTCTCTGCCAGCTCTGGCTGTACGACCCACACGATGAACATAACTGCAAGTACGGAATTTCATTTATTTTCATATTTATAAAATTTTCATGAGACGGGTTAGTCCGAATGATGAATGTTAAACCAGGATTCCAGTACTTGCACTGAAAGAGCAAATAAAAGAAACCCCAAATCTATTCAATTAATAGCCAATTTAAGGGGGTTGGAACTTTGCCAGTTTTGGACACAATATTGATGAAAAGGATTTCACCACTTACCTAGTAAGGTCACGAGGACATGCAAAATTTATAACTGTTTGAACCCCAATTATATCAAGGCCCTATACAAAGGACATAAAATCAATGAGTACATAAACAATAATGATAGGATTGAGCATCCAGCAAGTCAAAAAAATATACAGAATCCAACAACTATATCAAAGTAGCATGATTTCTGGAGATATGAAAGTTGAATTAGGAGCAATGAATTATTCATTTGGAGAGATGATCAAGTGAAACATGAAAACTCTATCATTACTAGCTAAGCACAACAAATTGAGATTTTTTGTTCTTACACGAGCAGCAACATCTGTTGCAATCAGAAAATCTACTTCCTGCTTCCTGAAAAGTTCCAAGGCCTATGCAACAGAATGTGAATAAGCATGCTTGACAAAAAGAACAGAACCCCAAGTTGAAAATCTGTTGATGCTGAGGACTTACATCTAGACGCTGGGCCTGGGTTAGATTTCCATGAAGTTCGGCTGCTTTTAAACCAGCTAGACCAAATATAATTTTCAACCTATGTGCTGCCTGTTTCGTTCCACTGCCAATAGAAACATAAAATAGCATTGAATCAAGCATTTTAAACCAATTTATAAGAAAGGGAAGAAACTCAAAAGAAATTTGAGACAAGTGAAGATATGGTAACTGTGAAAGAAATAATAAAGCATTTTTTAATTATATTTTCATTACTGTACAAGTACATGTTGCCCAACCAACAACAAAAACCTAAATTTATTCTCCATAAATTTGAGGTCTGCTACATGAAGGCTCTCTAGTGCGTTGAATCCCTTGCCACATCCAACAGGGAAATCAAATACTTAGCAACCACATCATGCCATATTAATTTTGGTCTACCACTCCATCTTCTAAGTTGTTCTATCGCATCTCTTATGTGAATGGGAGCTTCTTCAGGTATACATAGATGTGTAAAGCAAACTCGATGTGGCCACCTATGGGTCCAGCACCGCCAGAACTTTTCTCCAGGGCCAGGCTGTTTAGGAAAATGCAACGCCTGGCACATCTATACAGGTGTAAAACAAACTTGATAAGGACCGTCTAGGGGCTTCATACAGCCGGAACTTTTCTCCTGAGCCAGGCTGTGCAAAAAATGCAACGCGCAGGGCATTCCAGAGCCTCGTTCAACAGTTTTTTTATTTTTGATGGGTTCACTTTTTGAAAGAACAAAAAATTAATAAAGAGACCCATGTGGGCTGACCCAAGCTAAGCAAAGGTTGGGGCACCAATATCTTGGACCCACAATGCAGATTTAAACTTCTAGATGTACACAAGACTTGCCCTGTTCACATACATCTGTTCCCTAATTATCTTAAATTGGTGCCTCTTCCACTGTTGATTTGTATAGTTATTTTCTTATTGTGTAAATTATGGTATGACTTCACATCTATCTTGACATCCTTATTTCTGTTACATACTTACATCCATCTCATTAACATTTCGGATTTAAAACTCGATCAATAAGAATAAGGCTTCAATGAGTGATAATTTTCTTGTTAAAGAAGAAAAATGGAACTTTTCAATGCGGGTTAACCATACTGATTACTCGATTTAGAACATGTTCAATCTTTAGTAGATAACCAGAAAAACTGGTGCATTGCAGTGCTTCCATAGCACTTAAAACTCCCAATTCATAATTCCTTGATTTTCTCAGATGTCAATAATCAAACTAACTCTAGAATGAAAAATTATGTGATGTAACCCAAACTATGCATCCAAAACAGACTATTTTTCACCAGTGACCTTTTGATAAGTAAGAACCCAAGGAATACCTATCGAGACAAAATATCAAGCCATGGTACTAGCCAGGACGAAAATCGGTAAACATGTTACAGAGCATGGTATAACCTGAAAATAATAACTTTGGATGTAAAGGTTTTGAAGCATAATGCAAGAAGAACTGCTTCATCATTTCCTTCACGCATTCGTCTTATACGAACAACCCTACATACATAAATCACAAGTTTGAGCAAAATTTTCATGGGTCTTGACAAAAGATCATGAAACATAACATATGTCCATGATCCAGTTGTAAATGGAACTACAGATGACTTACTCCTCAGTCAAAGTTGCTGGTCGTTTTGCAGATGGATCAGCTGAGAGACGCAAGGGTTTGTTCAAAGATAGCTTTACAAGCTCAGTAACTTCGTTAGTCATAGTTGCAGAAAACAGCATAGTCTGCCTTCGTCTCGGACACAACTTAACCTAAACAAAAGAACACAGAGCACAATTAATTACTTTAAAGAATGAGTTTAGATTTGAGCAAGGAAATGGAATAATATACAAAATCATCAAAGGAATTAGCACAGTATAAAAATGCTAAAAATATTACAGGTTGTAAACAAGAGAAAGCAGAAAGGGTATGATTTAAGCGACATACTTGGTGCTCGAGTGATTTCAAATGCTAAAAATATTACAGGTTGTAAACAAAGAAAGCAGAAAGGGTATGATTTAAGCGACGTACTTGGTGCTCAAGTGATTTCAAATTCCAAAAGCAGCTAAAAAACGACAGTTCCCTGACTTTGGTTATTGAACTTTTTAATTCTCAGGACACAACAATTTTATTCTTTCTTGCCTTTTATCTTTGATCTTGGTGTTCATATGAAACTTTTTTTTGATAACATTCATATGAAACTTAATAGGCAAATTATTAGGACAATACATCCCCCGCTTTCGAATTCAAAGATTTGCTCTCTTTACGGGTAGAAAAATCCCATCATCTAACACACTTCTATGCTAAAACCAAAATTATTTGAGATGCCATCAGTAACTTGTCTGCCATCTATAACATGCATTAGCATGCCTGCATGAACACACTATTGCACACAATCTGATCCACAACCAGACCAATCTGGACATTCACGCAACAATCTTTCTCATTGTTTGGAGAAACTTTCACCAGCCACAAATTGCAATCATCCAGAACTTCTTTTGGCCAAAGAACATGACTTCAAGAAAACTTTGCACGTTAAATATCTGGTTTTCAGCACATCATTCTTCCAGCTCATTTCCCAAATAATGAGAGTCCAATAAAAATATCAAGCTCTGTATTGTTTCAAGCTTCATATTCACTGGTACAGAAACAGGAACCCATTGTACTGTTGGATACAACTATTTCTTATCCTTCTATACAGATTTCAAGTCAAATAAATTGCATATAACTAGGTATTTTCTTTCTTTCTCCTTGATACCTCAGTTGTAATAATAAAAGCTATGACATCGAGCCATCTGTACCACAGAGAAACCTGGCTTCTGCTTCTTCACTAACTCCTAGACAGCTTGATGGAGAATTAGAAGGGATATTATGTTTATTTTGTTTTCAATTTTAATGCGTACTTTAGGAAACGTTATTAGTGTTTGATAATTACATTGCATAAGACCCCTTTATATATAGGGTTTTTCTAAGTAAAAAATGCTATAAAAGGTAATAAATCAAACACTAATAACGTTTCCTAAAATACGCATTAAAATTGAAAACTAAACAAACATAATATCCCTTCTAATTCTCCATCACAGCTGCTCCTCAGCATTTCAACCAATTCGCAAGATACAAACGTGAAAGTAACAGGGAAAATGGTAGTATAAACTATCATATTCATAGCTTAATGTTTAGCTGCAGTTAAGCAAGAAAAATTCCTTTACTAATCATAAGCAATTCTGAAAGTTCATTTCTGGCACACCAAAGCCAATGAATCGGGTTAAATCTAACGGGATTAGTGAACCCCCAGCATAAAAGGAAAAAAGAAAGAAAAGCTGAGTCCAAGAGTCTAAATTACTGGAAGTTCATTGTTGACTTGCTTTGCTGTCACTTTTCAATATCACTCTTTAATTTTTAGAGGGAATTCAATGACTGGATTTACATAATGGAAAATAACATATTTAAGTATCAACTGTAGAAAGTTGACTTTCTAAATGCGATTGAAATATATGGCATAAAACAGTAACAAGAAAAAGGTACGTCATATAACAATCTCCTTTTTCTTTCCAAATATGTATAAAATATGAACCTATGTTTCACCACAACTTCCATTTTCATTTTCACATTGGAAGTGTTTAATGCACTTATTTGCCTCTTAATTTCTTAAATAACGACAATGCTCAAAGGTTCAAGTTCAACAAACAAACATGTTTTTGGAAAGTGGAAAACCATTCCTCTACGTTATGACTGAAAATTTGAAGCCAAAATTAAGATTTGATGGACATATTTTTCCTCTACCTACAATGAGAAACAACAGTAGTAACTACTCTTCATATCAAAAGAAATTATGCTTAAACATATACCAATTCATGAATTTCAGCACTAAATCCAAGCTCTAAAAGCCGATCAGCTTCATCAAGTATCAAAACGGCAAGCTCATCCAGATGTACTGACAAAGAATTGCGTAAATGATCTATCATACGTCCTGGAGTTGCTACAACTATATCTGGCATCGATCTCAAGGCTGCCTCTTGAACCTGAAATGATTTCTAAACATCAGCATCTGCAAAATATAATGTGTAGTAGTTAAAATACAAGGAAACCAGATACAGAACATTTCATACAACTCCTTCCATCCAGTAAATGAGCTAACTTAGGATCCCAACTATGTGAGAGAGGCATTTATTGCATCTCCACTTTCATTAGTACACGCACTACAGTACCCTTTAATGTAAAGACAAATAGTGCATACGAATAAAAGATCTTGTTGAAACTAATTTGAGGAATACATCAACAAACTAAGGCCGTGTTTGGTTTAGCTAAAAATCAGATTTTTAGTAGACTTGAAAAAAGTTGATAAAAACTGTGAGTCCCATGAAATATGTGGTTGAAAATGAAGGCAAAACAGAGGCTAAGTCATGTTCCCAATAAATTTGGAGTCAGCTAAATAAAACCTTCTTCTTGACTCTTTTCAGTTCATTGCTAGATGTATTAGATAATTTAAGGTGATATTTTAAGAAAAACTATTAAATTAAATTGTGAATCATAAGGCGTTATATTGGGACATAAAGAAATGGGAACGTAGCAACAACATCAGGACGGATGGTATAGTAGTTTACATTCCGAAGATATGAAATTCTTAACTTGATTAAATAACAATAATCCTCGAAGTAGGAACTAGCAAAGAGAAACTTTAATCACTTCATAATGATATGGTAGCCCTTGGAACCCTCCCCACCCTCCAGTGTCAAGTTCTCTTCAGCCTTTAATGGTTGTGTGGGTGTCTATTTATTAAGATACACAGAAGATTCCTAGCTAATACAACATGCATTCAAATCCCTCGCCAACTAAAATTCCCCATGTTTCTCGCTTAGTAAGCAAGAACATAAATAAGATATATAGCCCATGTTTGATAGGAAATAAAATCTAGATTTTAATCTAAATCAAGTCAACTATTAATTTTAACCACATATTTCAAGAGACTCGCAACTTTGTAACCATACATTTCATCACCTTTTATCAAAATCTACTAAAAATCTTATTTTAATCCCTACCAAACAGGGGCACATGCACTATCACTAACTTAGGTTGATAATGTATGAGCATGGTTTAAAAAAAAAACAATTGAAGCCCGCCTTAGAGTGAGACAAGTAAAGTATGTTTCAAGGTGTTGATTGCGAGGCAATTTTTGGAGGTGTATACCTCTGATGTGTGAGACACAAGGCATGAGTTCCTTAATTCATCAAACTCGTTTACTTTGTTTTATGTGTGGGTACACAAAACATATAAGTTCTATTAAACTACCCATTGCCCACTAAAACATTAAAAATTGTGTTTCTTATAAACCCACTTCGGCAATAGTCACCACCCCCACCAACCATAATAATAGTTTCTTTTTTGTTGCTTCATAATTTTTTTTCTTCTTTTGTTTGCACACTTTAAATTTTCCTATTATGGATTTTGAAGATTATTTATGATTTATCAAGAGCCTATTTTCATTTTAATAATATTTTGACATTTTTTGGGTTTATGGAGACTAATTGAGGCTTACAAGGCTTAATGAAGGAATAACACACAAGTACCTAAACATTGTGTATGAGAATAGAGCAAGAAGCCGAACTCAAGAAATAAGGAGATGCAAGTGATGTAGATTCACATTTAATGCAACTGATATACAACAGAGTTCGATAATGTAGGGACATCCAATAATTTTTATGGTCAATCCTACACGTGAAGGTATTTGAAATAAGAGTATGATACAACATCAAGCTTCACCTAGCAAAAAAATAATTCTCACATTCCAATACGAACCTTTGTTGAAAGACCACCAACAACCAAACAACATCTGATCTCAGTCATAAATTGGGCAAGTTTCATAATCATGCTATGAACCCTGAGTAATAAAAAGAGATAAACCAGATAATGAATTGACTAAACAAAATAACGGAGGAAATCAAATTGAAAGCAAACATTAGTTCCAAGAAACTTTCAAGATGTGATAACTTGAGTGTACCAACCATTCTTTGGTTACCCACTTTCGCTTTGTTAAGATCTTTCTGTGTGAATATTGAATTTCCACTACCCAGAGGAACAGAAACCTAATGTTAGGCTAATTTTAAAACTGGAAATGAAATCAGCAAATAGTATATGTACTTTAACCAATATTCAGCATCTGAACGCTTCCACATTTAACCACTTCAAATCTTAAAAATATTAGAATTTTGCATTCTCGTCACTCTGTTGTGAATGGGTGCAAATGCAGAAATACTATCCCAAATTCATGCCATTAAAAAATCTTCAACATGAAGGAGATAAAGAAATATCAAAGTGTAATAGCTTGTTTGGGAGACATTATAAGCTATCCATGTGCGTGCATAGTATGTTATCCATGTCCTGTGTACTTCTTTGTGTTTATCATCAGAAGAAGATATAATTGTGTGGTCCATAATGCCAAAAGTTAAAATGTACTTACCAGAAACATGTATCCAGAGAGACAAACATATTTAAATAACAAACTGAGGTACACACAAAATAACTTGAAGTGGCACTTACTGGACAGCCAACTCCCTTGTTGGTGTAAGAATTAGAACCCTAATAGCAGGCCTATTCTTTGGACGATATAATAATCTTTCCAATGTTGGTAGAGCAAAAGCAGCAGTCTGCATGGTAAAGAACAATAAAATCATCACTTATATAAAATCCCCAACTTTATGACAAAAACATAAAGACGCATCCAAAAATATCTTAATATGATATAAAAAGTTCAAAACAAGAAAAAGATGAGCAAAATACTGTCACTTCAAGTATCACAATCAACCCAAACAAATAAATACTATTGTCATCAGCTCATTATGTAATTTACCTTTCCAGAACCAGTAATAGCACTCCCACATATATCACGCCCAGTTAAGGCCAATGGAATACAAGCAGCCTATGATAAAAGAAAAAAAAAACATCAATTTGAATCACCAATAGCTAAAATACCAGAACTCATACCATCCAGGTTCAAATGATGAAGGATAATTTGAAAAGAACCAAAAACTAATAACGAACCTGGATTGGGGTGGGCTTACTATAGCCCAAAGCTTCACATGCCCGAAGCAACGGCCTGGAAAGATGCAGCTCCAAAAACGAATTTGCATGGAATGACACGCCTTCCACCGGCGAAAAGAATGACTTAGAGTCGTTCCCACTTGTTGTCGGATCGCCATCCTCTTCCTCCTCCTCGTCCGGCCTGTACTCCTAAACAAGCAAAAAAAATGGCAATAACAAGAACCATAATTATTCCAACAACCACTCCCGAGTCAATACACAAATTTGATTTTCTTAATCTAAATTGAATCAAAAGGATATTATTTGTTACTTGATGGTGGGGTTCCGATTCCGAATCAGAATATTCTTCAGAGTCGGTATTGGTGGTTGGGATAGGGTGGCGCAGGCGGGCATTGGAAATTTTTTCGTCAATGGAGGTGGTGCTGCGCCTGAAGTGTTCATCAGCTACTGATTCAGAGTAGGAAGAGAAATCCCATGGCGACTGCGATTTCTTGTTTGGTCGAATTTTTTCGTCTTCCGACTGAGCTTCTTCTGCTTCTTCTTCATCTACTTCATCAGATTGGCTTTCGCTATCACTTTCAAGTTCGATTTCTTCATCACTGGGTGGTTCAAACAAGAATTTTTCCTCAGCCATGAGAGGCGGGTCGTTTTTCAAGGGTTTTGGCGATTGGCGCTATCTAGGGCTTATGTTTCGCCCGTAACCTTTTAATATAAAATTAAGGAATAATTGAAGTAAAAGCCACAAATCTTTGAAACATAAACAGAATTTCCCAAAATCTTTGATTTGTTGCAGCCGTGTCACGCCTAATACTTCCAAATGTTGTAGGTGAAGTCCTTTTGAACAGTTTCCATCTATAATTATGTCGATTGATCAAAAATTTAACTTTGACTACATTTTTAATATTTTAAAAATGAGCAAAAAAAGTAATTTCTCATTTGTCACATTAAATAATTAAATAAAATCTTCATATTCTCCCTATTATGCATCATTCCGCTTCTCAAATCGCTCTTTTCATGAATCTCAAGCGCCAGCAAGAAGAACCTCCCGCCTGGACCCTAATTGGTACCGTTGATCGAAAACTTGGTATGGCTACGTAGGTCTCTTTATGAGCTAGAATTCATCCTCTACGAGCTCAAGACCAAGTGCGGTCCCTTCATCACCATCAGAATTGGCCCTCGTATCAAGTTAATATTTATCGACTGTCACTCCCTCGCTCACCATGCTCTTATCCAAAACGGCGTAGTCTTCTCCGATCGCCTGAGAGCCGCGCCGACGAGTAAGATGTTGATGAGCAACCAGAGCACAATCAGCTCCGTCGCCTATGGCGCCACCTGGAGGATCCTCCGCCGTAACCTAACGTACGAGATTTTATAGCCCTCCTGTGTGAAGTCGTACTCCATGTCCCGCGGATGGGTGCTTGGTGGACTTATTCAGCTGCTTGTCTTGGCTCGGTCGTCGGAATCGTTTGATCATTTTCAATTCGCTATGTTCTCTCTATTGGCTTTCATGTGCTTTGGGGACAAGCTCCATGAGAATCAAGTTAAAGAAATTAAAATCATACAAAGGCGATTGCTTTTGAAAATAATTCTTACTTCCTTTTTTTCTATTTTAATTTATTTTTAACATGAAAAAAATATGAGAAATGATATATGTACACTCTTGGTGTACAATATTGTTGACACTTCTCTCACAACATGGGTGGATTCCGCCATAAATAAAATAATCACAGGACCCACTATGTGAAAGGAGTGTCAAAATGAGTGTACACCAAGAGCGTACACTTATCATTTCTCAAAAAATATTTATCAAAAAGTCTTTTTTTATATAATAATAATGTTTAGTTTTCTAAGGGAGTGCTGATGGATATTATTAAGGAATGAATATATTTTAAATAGTGATATGATATGAAATATGCGGTTAAAAAGTAAGAAAAAGTTACTGATGTGATGTAAAATATTATTTTATTGAAAAATGTGTGGTTGAAAATGCGTTTTGAATGAATGTATTTTGAAAGAATGTGTATCAAATAGGAGCTAAAAGTATACTTTTAAACCTTAGCCAAACATTCTAAATGCATTTTCCTTACCGTCTCTGTATAGAAAAATCCTAACTACGTAAGGGGAATTTGTTGATCATCTTTTTGAGGTCATAACCACAAAATCCGAAAAGTAGACTATCGCACATTTTTCCTCCGAACATCTTCTAAAGTATAAGCACCAAATGAACAGTCTCGACAATAAGCAGCTTAAGCATTCATGGTAATTTTTGCAGTCGGTAGAATAGTTACAATTTGTCTTTGTACAAAATGGAAGCCCATCTCACCAGCCGGATCATTTAATTATTTTGAATTAAGTACTAAATAGAGGTTTTAGTCTTACGACTAAGTAAATAAGTATTCAATTTTTCATGCAAAGATACAGGGGGTGTTTGTTTTTTATTCTCAAATTCTACAGTAAATCAATTCTCATTTTCAACCACACAATCTTCAATAAAATAATATTTTCCATCACATCAATAATTTTTTCTTCTTTTTCAACCACACATTTCCCATCATATCACTATTCAAAAATCAATTCTTCCCCCAAAAATTCATACCAAACAAGCACATAATATTTTGACAAATTTTTAACAGAATTCGATAACCACTCGAATACCATGAAAATTGAAGATTCGGAACTCAAATAACACGAACAAGGCCTAATTGACTAGTCTCTTGATTTTCTTAGATTATTTCAAATCACTACATATTCGTTTGATTTGTGTTTTAGTTTTCATTTTTAATTTTCTGTTTTGAGGATCTGTACTAAAATGGCTAAAAAGGTGATTAGTTTGTCATTTTGAAAAATTATTTTTCAAAAACAAAAAATTAGAAAACATGTTTGCTTTGAAATTTTGTAAAATAGTTTTATGGCATTTTATTCTAAAAAGTTTGATTATTCAGTAAAAAAAAAATAATTTTATATTAATATATTATCAAGTAATATATACATTTTAAAGTTTGTGAATTTTACATTATTTTTTTCTCGTTACAAAAATAAAATAAAAATAAATGATAAATTAAGTTCGAAATATATGAAATAAAATAAAAATTAATGATGTGGACTGGGGAATATTTTTATCCGTATTCATTTTTTATATAAATAATCATTAAGAACTTGAGCTATTTTTATTTTTTATTAGTAATAATTTTTAATTTTTTAGAAATTTTTATAATTTTATTTTTTCAGAATATGTTTTTATATATTAAAATTTAATTTGGTAGAATTTTTTTTTTTTACTTTTTAAATTTTATTAAAACACTTGTTTTTCATATTTCGAGTGTGTTCAAAATTTTCACTGAAAATACTCAAAACTTAAAAATGCGTTTTGAGTTTTATGTTATAAGTTTACCAGTATTTTTGAAAATGTATTTTCAAAAATACCAGACAAAATAAGTTTTCAGTGTTTTACAAAAATTGAAAACTAAAATCAACTTAAACAGTAAACCAAACGCACCACCCTGCACTTCCTTACGAAATTTTAGGAATAAAGTATTATTTTAAAGTTAGTTTGATTTGTTGCCGTTGTGAAGTTAATTTTAGTTGGTTGTCAATGTAAATAGACGACAACATTTCTATACCAGTCATTGGAAACATGGATGAACATAATTAAATATCTGTTTCACAAAATTTATAATTATTTACAAATAATTAAATTTCATTTTCAAATATACATTCTAATTTTATCACAATTCGCAATTACTATTTACATATATACCACTCATATCTATCTATTTATAAATTAAATCGTCTAAAATATCTTGTTAACAAAGGTTAACTATGCGATTGTACCTATGCATTATATATGTTTATTGTGGTCAAAGCTAATATCAAATTTCTGCGAGTAAATGTTCAAAAAAATAAATATAAGATAAATTGTTTACGTATTTGAGAGTTCGAGCTTATTCCCTCTTACGCTTGAATAGTGAAGAGAAAGTTGGGCCTCCGTATGGAAGAATTTATAAACGGTTTTATTTATAAATAAATAAAATGAATTGTGGTTAAATAGATAGTAAATATGGACCTATTGAATTGCACGTTTCTTAATATAAACAGTTTAGTTTCTCAATTAATAAACTCATACTGCAATAGGTCACTTTAAAAAAAAAGGGTCAGAATGAAACAGTTTATGAGATATGAAACGTTCAAACTAGAATATTATGCCCCTGTTTGAACCAAATTATTGTAGAATGAGAATGAAAAATATAGTCGTTATTGGAGCCCACACAAGAGATAGAAAATTTAAATTTAAATGTTGATATGATGAATAACGGTCATATTTTTCATTTTAATAAGATAATAAGGTGGCTCAAACGAGGTCATAGTCAGCTAATACTAATTCTAGGCAATTCGAGCTTTCTATCCAATTCATAATAATAAAGAACTGATTATGCCTCTAAGTTCAACAAGGTTTTTACTTTTTGATTAGCTTGTTGCTATTGGTTTTCCTCTTAGCAATATAGGACAAGTTTACTTTTTTTTTCTAAGGTTTAGGTGGTGATTATAGTGGTTTCATTACATCTTTAATTCCCTTAACTCATTAGCTTAGTGTTGAAGAAATTCATGGTCAACTTCTTAACTACGATTATCGTCTTAAGTTGTAGATTGCATCTCATAGTATCAACTTTTCCCAACCAAATCTCTCCTCATTTCAACAAAGCATCTTAGAACCCTCGGAGCCCGTAAACCTCATTTTGCAGTCCAAGCATACCTTTACCAATCATTTCCCGACCAAATCCACAATGTCAAATGTGGTAAATTTGGTCATGTAGCATTCATGGAGGACTAATTTTAGTTCCCAATCACAATTTTTGGTAACTTTTCTATGGCAACAATGATGGCCTCAATGAAACCCCACCTCAGCTAGTTGCAGATAATTCATGGTAAATGGACTCTGGAACTACTCACCCCCTCACTCTAGATGTCAATATCATGACCAACATGATGCCATATTAGGGTCATGATCAAGTGATGGTAGGTAATGGGAAGTGCATTAGTATCTCTAATCTTGTTCTTCATCATATCCTTCACACATAATGTGGAAAAGGATCCGATGAATTCAAAAGAATTGAACGAGGAGCCGTATGAAGTGAAAATCGCACGTACGGTATCCCCGGATTTGTTGCACGAAAGGGATAATATGCAAATTCGAGTTGTCAATTATATTCTTTATGGAAATGGCAAATCGATTCTAGAAATATTTTATACAAGTGTTCAATTTGTTCAGACTTGTTTAGTATTGAATAAAAAGTTTCAACATGGTTAACTATTATGACCAAACCGTGTCGATTTTTATTATTTCGCAAGTGTACGAATTGTGAACAAGTATTAAAGTACACATGATTCCAAATATAGATCCCACGAGAAATAAGTATCCAATATAGTTTCAATTGACTTAACCCTATTCAAATATAAATGCAATTAATAATTAGATAAGATGATGATGATATTAACAACATGATCCATGGAAACTTTTATGAAACTCAATTAATGGAACAAACGCTGGGATCTATAACACTTACATTCATCCATCTTAATATCTGTTGGGATTGTGCCCCAAATTAGGGTTGCCATATGGAAGAAAACGTGTTGAAT